CGGGACCACTCCTCCTCCTGATTGCTGAGCCTTCGAGAGAGAACCATCTGCATTTGCCTTTATCCAACCTTCAGCGAGACCACACACCAAGGTGCGGGATCGAGCAGTGGTGATGACCTTGGGGTCCCTCATGGATCGTTTTCATTCTTCTGCCAACCAAAGCACCTATCAGTGATGAGTTTTTGTTCATCAATTCTTTTCCTATTTCTGGCGTTCTTCCTAGCGATCCACAACTCATACAGAGCCTTTAGAGTTAATTCTTTATCCTCTTCTGATGCACGCCCTAGCTAGTCCATGAACCATGATTGTATGTTTCTTGGGGTTTCAATGTCATCAGGTATACAGGCTAGCGGAGCCCCGACCGCACCCCCTTGATATCTTCTAGTTTTTTTTTGAGTGAGGGCATCTTTAAAACTAGTGGACGATCATCTCCTCCCTACGGCACGCCACGGAGAAGACCCCAGGCTTGATCATGTGACACCGAAGCTCCTATCCCACCGTCTGCCCATCAAAATGATTCGCCAACAGTGGATCTTCACTTTACCCGAAACGTTTATACTCCACAGGTCCAACCAGCTCCTATGGTTGATCACCATAGGAGCCCGAGAGGACGACAAAGCTTTCAGAGACAAGGACAAGTGAGACGCTAACTAGATATAGAAGACATCGTTCTTTGTGCAACTCCATGCTCCTTCCTACTTCCGCCAACAAGAACTCGCTTGATATCGCATGCATTACTCTCTTTGAACACCATGTCGAGTTTCTCTTCATCCTATCCCAATCCTTGGCTGTTCAGGAGGTCGGCCACACGAGTAATATGATCATGATAGTAGCACCCAGCGGTACTAAGCTTTTAGATCGGGGAATCCATTTGTCGTGCATGATATTTATTTGTGATCCATCTCCGATGCGCCAAATACAGTTGTGGCTAAGTAAATCTCAACCACACATTAAACTCCACCAAGTGTACAAGCATCCCAGTGGACACGTCACTGACATGATGTCGGAATCTCTAAAGTACCTTGCTTTGAGAATTCGGGCACATAGAGGGTTAGGAACCAAAATAATTCTCCAAACTTGTTTTGCTAAGAGGGCTTGGTTGAAGAGTTCAAAATTAAACCCCAACCTTCCTTCATACTTTCTTTTGCACATTTTGTCCCATGCCACCCAATGGACCTTGTTCTCGCCATCAGCTGCTCCCCACCAGAATTTTGAAGAGATAGATTTCAAGTTCCCGCACATTTTCTTGGAGAGCTAGATGCAACTAATAGTATATGCAGGCATTGCTCTATGAAATTCACACTTTTTGACTCTCAATCCAAGTACTTTCTTCACTACTTTGACAAGCCTTGTCCCTTCCACCCAGAGACCTTTGCCCTAGAACTTTCTCTCACATGCTTAAAGTAACCATCCCTTGACTTCCCCACCACCGCCGGTAGGCCCAAATACCATTCAAACAAAGCAGCCGAGTCAATGCCTATCACACTAGTAGAAAAAGGACCTAATGTGAGACACATTAGTGTCGGTTCGATTTTGGCCCGGTACTAATGGTACCATTAGTGCCGGTTCGAACGGCTATGCATTAATGCCGGTTCGTTTTGAACCTTTAGTGCCGGTTCGTGCCACGAACCGGTACTAAAGGGGTGGTGGCAGGCTGGCGTCAGACCGGGGGCCCGCGATCACCTTTAGTACCGGTTTGTGGCACAAACCGGTACTAAAGGGCTAACCTTTAGTACCGGTTCGTGCCACGAACCGGTACTAAAGGGGTTTGACCTATAGTACCGGTTCGTGGCACA